GTAGAGCATGGGAAGCTGAAAAGTCCTTGACTAGTGTAAGCACTGCTCAGCAACAACTAAAACATCGGTGTGTTATCAACATTGTTCTCATCCTAAACCCAAAACCCAGCACTGTACCAGCTACTAGGAAGAAAATTAACTCTATCCCAGCCGAAACCAGGACAGAGTGCTTAGGCACCTATCCCTGCTCTACCACACAGATAAACCTGCTTCTGGAGAGTAATGGAAACTGATGACGGGCATGCTCCTGTTCTGATTTTATTCAGTATCAGAAATCTCAGTGATTTCAGTGGGATTGACATCAGGCCACTTATCAGTATGCAGAAGAGAGGATACAAGTGAAATAACATGGTACCTGGTTTACTTCTATTAAAAAAAAATCATTCTCCAACACACTGAAAAATTCTGCCCCTTTGGATTAAATCAAGCAGCTTGACAAAATAATGGAAAGAAAAGGTAGTAGATTTCTGGTATTAAAACACTACATTCAACAAGAAATACTTTTTCTCATAAGTACTTTTCCACATAAATCTGGGAGAGCACTTTTGGGCCCAGTGTCATGCACCAGTGAGTTCTGTAACAAAGATCTCAACAAAGCAAGTTCGTAAGTTTTTAAATGCATCTATGTCTAAACGTATTTCCAGTTAATAGGATAATTTAATAGTTTGCCACTCCATACCCTATGTATTTGTAGGTTCTTTCCTTTTTTCCCCCTACAGTTGTGGTTTTGCTTATTGTTTTCCAGCCTAAGTGCTTCACTTCCAGCACTTTTATGAGAATTAAAAATATGTCTGGCACAATGAGCCCAATTCATCCAAACACTATAGCCAGATGATCTATTTTTTCCCCTCATTAGGAGTCCAAGCACATTCAGCATTTGGAGTGAAGAAGTCTTCTGCAAGATCAAGAAAATAGCATTTAGTGATAAAATTAAATGTTTGTCTACAAAGGGAAGCTATTTTGGAGAAGGAAGGTTACAAATACAGAAAAGTGGAAAACTACCTTACACAAACTGCATGTCAAAAGTGTCCACAACGGGAGGTGGTGTGGAGGAGCATCCTGTGAACTGTAGGTCAGCGTTCATTAAGTCCCCAGATAGATTAACTCCAGGCACTCTTATACTTGAGATATGAGTGAATCAGGGAAGGCTTCCTAGCAGGATGTCCCATGACTCGGGCAAACACTTCAGCACCTGCTTAATTTTAAGTATTGTATGCTTACTTCTCAGTACCTTGTTGGAATAAAGTTTTTGCTTAATTATTTTTCCTGAACAAAGGTGCTTTCCTATGCTTCCGTGATGAAAAATTTGTGGCCTTTATTTCAGTGATATCTGAATACACCGAGTAATAAGATATATGTGGTCTCACCGAATGCAGGGGAAACACACTGAATCCATCGCACAGATTAAATTATACCCTCTAAATTATTTATAGACGGGTCAGTCTGAGCTTGTAACCTGCTTAAGAGAAGGCCATCAATTTGAGCCTGTATTTTAACATGTAACTGTTTTGCCGTCAGCTGAGAGGACAGACACGTTGCCACATGTTCCCCTGACTTAGCTGCTTTTGAATCCCTGAAGTAGGGACACTGGGAATTTGGCAGGATCCAGAGAGCCACTGGGATGAACAGAGGTAGTTCATGTCTTTCATAAACTGTTCAACACTCCATTGCCATCTTAGGCTATCTATCTGGTGGATAAATGCATGTGGGACTACACCCGTTTGTAGTTGGAAGGGTACTTTTAGCAAATACTTAGACCTGAAATGTAGCATTTTTTCACTATGAGCACATCTTAAACCCGTGACACTGAGGAAGGCGCCCACTTACAAGATAAGGCTTGCTGCCTATCATTGACAAATATGTCACCGACTCGCCAAACATGCCAGTACACTTTAAAATGCCTACCTGAGTACACAGAGACATTTTAATGACAAAAAAATCAAAGCTTTCAGAATTTCCAAAGAAGCTGTACTAATGACAGCCTTAATACACTGGGAACTGTGGACTGACGGTGGCAGGTAACGGTGTTCTTATCCCAAAGCAGCATACAGTACAACTGGGATGACATACTGCTTTCCTCATCTAGGTATTGCCTCAAATTGCAGCTAATGTGGGAAATGCTGACATGTAACTTTCTGGATGTTGTGTTTACCATACCCACATTTTAAAGTTATGCAGGGTCGTTGCTATTATATGTGTAGTGAGAAATCAAGTGATAATACCATTCCAGGGGAACTACATTTTCTTTAATATGGTCATATTTTTACTTTTGATGCCACTTAAATGGTTCCTATAAACGGTGCACTCTAATTCTATTTATTCCCTAATGAAAACACCTAAACAATCCCATGCAAGGGCTCAAGGGAGTGTGTGGGTGTATAGGAGAAGCTATCCTCAGACAAATGAATGGTAAAGGAGTAATTTAATTTTTTTTTGAACAGTAAGTGTCCTCTATGGATTTACTCTCTTTGATTCTGCAGTTTTAAGAGGGTATCTCATTTTTATTGAACAAAAGTGTGGGTCAGAAAAATGTGAATTACAGGAAGTAGGGAAAAATGGGACTATCTTCTGAAAACTGCAAGAGTACTATAAACAAGCTTTTAAAAGGTAATGATAAGGCATTTATATTCAATCAGTTTTGGAAGTAAACAATAATAAACTAAGTTGTTTATCTACTGCTGAATGCCAAACCCTTCTGAATACTGTAAAACAAAATTAAACAAATAAAAAACCCCTTTATATAGTCACTATGAAGAAAATGAGGTTGTCTATTCAAAAGGGGGAGAAAAAATGATTAGAGAGAAAAGAAGTACATGTAAAGCTATGGCTGGCTGTTCATTGAATAAGTTTTAGGACCGAAAAAAGACTGTTTATAATACCTGGGAAGAGTGAATTAAGATGGATTTCAGCTGAGTGACTGGAGGCAACTGGTTGTAGGCAAGATAAATCACTCCTGGATCTCCTTTGAACACCAGTTTTCCAGCATGATGTAGTCCTAAAATCAATCACTCTCTCTCTTTTGCACCTACTGTTCCTATGTTAGGTCTAAACCCAAGCAGCCGCTGTGGCATCGGCATCTATGTGTGTGACTTTTTTAACCTTCGCTGTGAGATTCAGAGACAGGCACGTAAAGGCACCGCAGCTTTGAAAGGGCTGGTCCCACAAACACATCTCATGCACTTCTAGACTCCACTGAATTCAGTCGTAATTCTCTTCAAAAACGCATCAGGAGGAAGAAATGATTCTCCCGTTTTGCATATTAGCACACAAGGGATTACAGCATGCACTCAGGAATTGCTTTCTTCAGCCTGTTTGCGTTCAAACTCTCACCTCCTGTTCCTCATTCCTCCCACTGAAGCCTGGTGACTGTGTAGGGAGAGATGAAAGATTCCCAGAGTCAGCAGGAGAATAAACAAAAACAACCCCCTTTTGCTGGGCCAACGCAGGAAGCAGGGCTGAGATCCCAGGGCTCTCATTCCTGCAGTTTTGGAAAGTTCCTTTCAAGCTCTTTCATTTCTTACACGGGTGCAACCCTGCATGCCTGCCTGAGATGAAACTTCTGTCTTCCTCAAATATTCCCC